ATTCAACATTGGAAGGAGGGTTAGATCTGGTTCACAATGGCAGAGGGATGTCAGAATTGGACAGTTTATCTTGTTTTATCTGCTTCTCTGTTCTGAAAGTCTTCCCCATAACTAAACTTTTGTCTTTTCTCCTCAATTAACAATGTGTGTAGCATACAATCTGCAAAATATCACATCTTCCCCAGGAAAATGGCTGGAAGGAAAAAGTTAGCGCAAGGCTATAATTAACTCAGGTTAATGGAGAGCTAATATAATATGGCTACTGCTACATATCTTCCTATAATGAGTTGCATTTTTTTTTCTGGGGAGGGAGAGATAATTAAATTAACTATGATGTAGTTTGAAAATTAGACCGAAAAGGTTAACAAAGCTTTAATGGTATGGCAATAATAACAGTTTATAAACACAAAGCGTAAGGCACAGGTCAGTACAAAATAATTATCATTGTCTTGCGTTTAAATCACAGGACTAGACAAACTGTTGTTGGGAAAGGTGACTTGTTGGGAAAACGTGACTGGAAGGCAAAAATTGCAAAGTGGAAGGATTTTTTTGGGGGGGGGAGGAGGAATGGCCTCTTGGTAAATGCCTCATTACCTCCCCATTTTATGCATTTTAAGTCTAACTAATGAGCATCAATCTTGCTTTAATGTAAGTTGGTATAATGGATATTCTAATGCAGCCATAAAAATGAAAATATTGGGGCATAGCTGAGGGGTCCTTGGTGCTCTCTGAGCTCGGTTGTTTTCTCGCAGACTTTTCATCACCCAAATTAGATAACATCATCAGTGCTAGTTTGGGAACATCAGAACTGGCACGGATGATGTTACCTAGTTTGGGTAATGATACAATGCCTTAGTAAGGCCACACTTGGAATACTGCATCCAGTTTTGGTCACCACGATGTAAAAAAGATGCTGAGACTCTAGAAAGAGTACAGAGAAGAGCAACAAAGATGATTAGGGGACTGGAGGCTAAAACATATAAGGAACGGTTGCTGGAACTGGGTGTGTCTAGTTTAATGAAGAGAAGGACGAGGGGGGACATGATAGCAGTGTTCCAATATCTCAGGGGCTGCCACAAAGAAGAGGGAGTCAAGCTATTCTCCAAGGC